GCTGCCAGGTGAGGCCGCGGCCCCGGCGGGAGCGCTGACCGTCGCCCCCTTCTCCTCCCCGCGTATTTATCGCTTTAATTAAAGAGCGCAGTTGTCCCCGGGGAGGGCACTCGCGGTTGCAGCCAAGCTTCGGGGGTGTCGCCGGTCCCCGGGGGCCGGGCAGAGGCAGCGCGGCGTCGGGGGAGCCTCTGGGGGCAGCAGCGGGGTGTTTTATTAGTATGCTTAACATTTTCCTTTACCCCATAGTGTTTGGCCACCGGTGGGAGGGAAAGCCCCGCTTTGGAGAGAGAAGGCATATGCATTAAATATATATATATATAGTTCCTCGCCAATCCCTCTCCCCTTTTTTTATATATATTTTATGTTACAAAGCTGAGGGTGAGTGCTACCTTTCTTCTTCCCCCACCCCCCCATTTTTCCTCCCTAAAACACCCCGGTGTTGGTGGTTTCACCCCGCTCGGTTCGGGTGGGAAATCCGGTGGGTTTTGGGGAGGGCGAGGCGGGGAATGCGGTGGTTTCAACCCGTCTCTTTGGCCTGTGCTGAGTGTTTTGTGCCTCCCCCGTGCCCAGGCGCTGAGGGGGCACCATGGGGGTGCAGGACCGGCCTCAGTGCTTCTTCGACATCGAGATCAACCGGGAGCCAGGTGAGCTTGGCCCCTTGCCCTCCCTCCCGTCGCCTAATGGGCTTCTCTTGTCAATTAGCTCCGCTTTCTGTAGTTCACTTGGCCCTTGATTCCTATACGTATACATATTTTTCTTTTTTATTTCTGAGTTAACGCACTTATTAGCTCCATGCCCTTTATAACTTGATGTTGGCTGGGATACTGCATGCTTTTGTTTCCTCTTGAGATCAGTTTTTAATTGCCTCCCTGAATAGGGGGTTCAGAAAAGCTAATGAATGCGGTTGGGAGCGCTAAAAAAAAAAAAAAAGTATTGTGTATTAAATTGTCTGGTTGCAATATTATGTGTTGCAAGTTTACAGTTAAAGAGGACTGGGGCGAGTTACGAGGAACTGGAGGCAACAATGCCAGAAGTGTTTTTTTAGAGTAATTGAATAGGAAAGAGGACCTCAGGAGCTCATCTGGTACAAATCTGCTCCTCCTGCTTAAAATGAGTCTTCTGACTGAAAATAAAGAGGCCAGGTGGCCTGATTTAAAGGAAAAAAATCTTTGCCTCTTATTTTCCGTATGGGAAGTGTAATCACCATTAGGTGGTAGACTGAGTTTTAATCCCAGACCAGCTACTTAATTCCCGTTGCAGTTTCACTCCTTATTTTTGTTTTTGCCAAACTGTAAAAATGATTGCGCAGATAAACTTCACCGTAGTTTTGAACAAGAAGCAATCCATTTGTGTGACTGCCAAAAATGTATTCAGCATTTTATATCACTGTTATTTGTCTCTGTCAAAAAATAGTTGTGAATGGCTTCATTATGCTTTCACTTTCATTTTCTGCTGTATAGTTTCTGGGAAAGTCTTTGGAATAAGAGTTTATATCAGCATTTTCAAAACTCGGTTGCATTCAGATGCAACTTCTAGTCCTTTGATTTGCTCCTTCATTTCATCAGAAATTCAAAAAAGATTTAATTCCAACCTCAGTAGCCTGATACAGCATAACTGACTTTTGGTTTTTACTGCTTCTTTTTGAGGTGTTTCACGGTGCTTTTTTTGAATACTGTTTAGGAGGAGAAAAATGTAGCTTTTCATGTAACATTAACATGTCTTGTAATTTTAAATTCAGGCTTATTATGGCTTTAGACTATTAAAAACAAAATCGGATGCTTTGGGGTAGGCAGGTTTCTGGTTCAAAAGTAAATTCAATTAAATTGATTTGTGGCCTAGTTTGAGCTAATCATCTCTTCTATCTCATTGGCTTTTAATCTTTAGTCTGTTGTTTTGTTTTGACTCTGAAGAATCCCTCCCTACCTGTTGAACTTTCACAGGAAAACACATCAATTTATAAAATGCTGGTATCAGGACTATAGTGTAGTTCTATTGTATGCTAATGTCCATCATTAATTTAGTCTGGAGTTATGTCTCAAAACATAAGGTAAAATATATTAAAGCTTAAATATTACCCTTTTGGCTACAAAATGACCTTTAAAATCTGAATCAAGTGTGAGTGGCACATCAGTGCTTACAGATGAGATAAAGCATTAACTTGGAGAGATCCATACTGATAACAGTGGAAATTGGAAAGCTGCTTACACTTTAAAAGTTAGCATTAACATTTTACTGATGTGCCTTTAACACAGTTGGCCAATCTGCTTGTTCATCTTTATTGGCTGTGGAGACACTGGGAAGGCAACTAAGCTGCGTGTTGCTGCTAGCCAAGGAATTGCCACTCTGCCTGCCTGCGCTGAGGAGCTCAGATAGCTTCTCCCCAGAGAGTAAGAGGAGCCGTCTCTTACAACAGAGACATCTTTTTGCCCATAAAATACAAAACGTTGTCATTCTGACACTTATTTTTGATTGCTTAAAATCCAAAAACGTTGCACCACGTAGCTCACAACTTAGTTCTGTTTCACTGTAGAGATTTTGTTTGCCCGTTGGTTGAACTCATGCCTGTAGCAATTGGAAATAAGGGAACAGTGCACATAGAAGGAACTGCAAAGTGTGTGTGTGTAAAGGGGAATGCAGAGTTTGAATTAGTTTCCCTGTGAGACCAGATCTGTTGTGCTGTACAAAATACAGTATTTATGCTGTAGCTTAGGTCGTGATTTCAGAAGCATTTAATTTTATCTACAGAATGATGAAGTAAAACTTGATGCCCCCTGATACATGGTTCTTGCTGGGTAATGAACTCTGTAGGCTTTTTATCAGCGTTCTTCAGTGTAACTTGAAATTTAGGTAACTTCAATAAGCTCTTTGTTAAGCATTTTTATGAGCACAAATTGCGGCTGGTATTTTTTTAAAGGGATAAATAGAAAATAAATCAAGAGTCAGCTTTGGGAGGGGGAAACTACTAGCATAGAGAGCTACTTTCCCTTGTTTTAGTGTTTTGTTCTGTTTTACAGTAATGGATTGGGACACATACCACTTGCGGGTAAGAGCAAGCTATTTATGGTAGCAAGATGCCAATTTGATGACAGTCACTAGACGCCTAGTAATGCCTTGACTCTGCAGACAGCTCATGTGAATTGTGTTCTAATTATCATAGCACCTAAGGAATTGATGTCTGAGTAGTAAGTCAAATAGAGCGTCTGTTGCTGTAGTAATTTATGTGGCTATTTAAAGAAAAAAAGCTTCATTTTCTTCCCACCCCGATTGTGCTGGCAAAGCTGACTGGCTTTGTTTATGCGAACGTGTTTAAAATCTTAGAATTTACTCATTTTTTTGCTGTGCCTCATGCCTGTCTACCAGTGATTTTTTTCCTTATTTTCTCTTCTTTTTTTCCTTTTTTTTTATAAGCATTTTTTTTAGTAATTGTTGTCATTTTTCCTTCTGATTCAGTTTCTCTTCTTCCTTGAATAGTGTCCCTCTCCTTTTCAGTCCATTGGGATTTTTTTTTTTATCATTACTTCTCCTGGTCTCGATTGTCTGAAGCTTGTCATATTTGGAGATTTAGGCTGCCAGAGCTATGAATTTAAGTGAAAGAAGCAATGCTGGACCAGTTACAATATTAGTACGTCTGCATTAAGAGAACCAGGGAGGTAAATTTATTATGGGGTCTTTGTTATCCTTCAGGAACATAGAAACTATCTGGAACTGGCTTCCCGTTAACTTTTAGCCCTTTAGTGTTGTAGATTTGCAAGGAGTAAAGCGCGTTGACTCAGGCAGTGAACCAAACAGCAGATCATTTGAGCGCAGTGCAACGAGTCAGAGACCCCCCCGAAGAACGTGTGGGAGATGCGATCTCCCCGAGATCTCTCCATTTCTCATTTAAGGTGTCCTAGTACAAAATTGTTATTTATGCTATGCAGAATGATCAGTCATCAGTGTGGAATTCAATAGTTTGAAAATTTACCTTCATGTCTAAAACAAATTGTGGATTAGCAAATGAGAGACTAAGCCTGATAAGCTACTAGAGAAGACAAAACGTAGTTTCCTGCTTGCGTTTCTCGGTAGGCAGTGAACCTGAGTTGCAAGCAATAATGAAAATGAGGTGATGGTTGTGTAGATCACTGAAGTCTGGAGCAAAGGCAGCTCCAGGGAGTGTTTGTGGAGAACACGATTTAGCAGAGCACTGTGAAAGGAAGAAATTTATGGAGGCTTTGACTGTACGGAATGTAAGTTAGGATAAAGAAGCATTAAGAAAGTGGTAATGTGTCAGGACTTTCTGTAGATTCCTGCTTAGAGAAATTGTAACATCCATTGTTTCAACTGATGTTTTAAATCTTATCCACTGTGAGCGTTTATTTTCTGAAAACTGTGCCACATTTCTACTCTAAAGAAGTATTCTAAAATTTGCATAACTTATTCCAACGTTTCACAAATTTAGGGATAAATAAATGCATAAGATTGAAAATGTTTGTTTTAACAAAGTGTTATTTAAACTAGTATGCAAATTTATCTAAGCCTTTGGGCATCTGGCAGCCTTCCTGGTGTGTCTGTACATGATGCGTATCACTGTCTTAGCGGCTGGAATCTCTGCTTTGTTATTCAGCATGGTGTTCCTCATGAAATATTGGAAGAAAGGCAGCAGTCTCTTCCTACCTGGTTTGCGCTAAGAAATTGGGCGAAGACAAAAATGAACTTAAAATTAATTTACTTAAGTTCTCTAGTTTTAATTGGAATTGGTCTTATTCTGGGAGTGTCTGTCTGAAATTTGATTCCTTCATGATCTAAACATAATCTAGTGAAAGAGTTTGCATTATGTGTAAAATATGGTCAAGGAATACATGTTTATGTCCAGTTTTGCTTAAAGCAGTTGAGTTAAATTGGGCGTAAGTCACTCGATAAGGATTTGAAATCAGATTTTAATATACCAGACTTTGCTGATAACTGTGCTTGTTATGATATAATGTGGATATTTCTACCGTGATTTTTTGTAACTTAATTTGAATCAGGTTCTAATTCTTCTGCAGGTTGGATGTTGTTTGGACTTTCAAAAATGAAAAAAAATGCTTTTGTTTTTCGGGTTGTGGAATGAGACTCTGGAGTTTGCTTATGTCTGGTCATTGTGCCATCTGGTTTCTAGAACTGGTGCACTTCATTAGCTGCAGGTAGCACTTTAAGAAATCATTAAGTTTTGGTTTCAAAATATCCTAGACCTTGTGCCATATTTGCTCTACTTAATAACTTGAATACTTCTTGGTCACTTACTCTGATTTTTATGCAAAAATACAGAATGAATATAATATAATACTCAGTGTATTTTTAATGATTAATAAACACAAGTTATGATTGCCTTCATTTCTGTGGTGCTGGCTATCATAAAAAGTACACTAATGTACTATAAAAATTATTGATATAGTGTATGAATTAGTGTACTGATGTAGTGTGTACAGTATACTGATTATATATACACACTGTATAGTATGTATATATATATTAACTATACGTAAGGTTTACGTAAGGTTAACTATACGTAAGGTTTATGATTAATTTAACTTGAGCAATCTTTTTTTTTTTTTAGCGAACATTGACTTTATTTTAGTATTCAGGTCTTAACACTTAGTTGTGGAAAAATTTGTTCAGTATTTGGGTAATTTAAGCTTTGTACTGGGGAAGAGGAGCAGAAGAAATTAAGTGGAGGTGAAGCACTTCAGAGAATAAGGCACTATGGAGAGGAGCATTTAGGTCTGAGGAAACTTCAAATGTTTCCAATTCAAATTTCAAGCATTTCAAATTCAAAAAAACTTTAACCCACGTTATGTCAGTAAATATCTCAGTTATTTGGCTATGAACTCCAGTTTTAAAATGGATGTTTCTTTTCTAGATGAGAGAAAGATTCATTGGTTTTAACACAAAAAAATCTATTAAAGGTCTGCTTAAATTAATAGCAGTCATTTTATGTGCACTTACCTGGTTTGGGGGCTTTTTTGAGTTTGAAAATGTTTGATCTTTTCTTGGCACATTTAATTGACTTTATCAATAGAAAAATATAGCCTTCTACTTAATAATGTTCCTGCAGTTTGTCTAAACTACAGATAGTAACCCACCAGATGGATACTCGGTATGTGGTTTGTGTATTACCAGCAAACTGCAACATTTTATGTAGTTAGATATAACAGGATGAGCAGCACTCCAGGTTATGTGGAGGAGAGACTTCCTTATCTGAAACTGGGTGTGCTGTGATATAGTCATTTGATGATGGATAAGTGTCATAAGCCAAGTTTGTAGGAGTTCAGAAGATGTGACAAGCTGCAGACGTTATCAGCAAAAACTACAGAAAGTACTATTGAGATCACAGTATCTTAGGAATGCCTTTTTTTATGCTCTGCCGTAAAATTTCCATGAACTTCAAGCTGCATTGAAGTTCTTCCACCAGAAGATGTAAGAGGTGGTGTCACTTTGGAGAACTGTGCACGCTGATTTAGAAGTCTTGTGTGAAATGACTTGCATGGTTTTAAATCTTTTGCCTGGTTGTAGATGGACTGAAAAGTCAAAATCGGACTCTTAAACTCCTGTAACCTTGAAGGAAGGAAGCAATTCATACTGCCTCTGTTGGGTTATAAGCAACAATACAGCTTGGCCTCTGCAGAGAGGTTTTATGCTTCAGTAAGCTCTGTTTTATCTCATCTTCTGTGTCACACTATACAATAAGCAAGTAGGGTACGTCCCAGCCCACGTGGATAGCATGAAACAGAAATGCTGCTTGTGTCGGCGCTCTGCACACTTGTGCGTGTTTGTTTTTAAGCTAGCAGTTGAGTTTCATAACTGGCACTGATTTGTCAAGCTAATAGGGACTAACAATTGCGAGATGTTTTTAAAAGTGATGCAAGTCTTTTTCCAGCTCTTACTGTCCTACATACAAAGGGTATTACCCAGCACATTGACTTGGAATTGAAGCTTTCATAGTTTGTCTGAGAAAATAAAATGCAGCCTCCTTCCCCTGGAGCCTGTAGGCAGTAAACTTACTGTTATTTGGCAGTTTTTTCATCTTGTAAAATCAACCACTGATCCTTATTTTTCTAAATGTTTGCAAAATGAGGATAGTGATGCTTTGTTGTTATTGTTGCTTTTCTGGAAGATATTGTATTTTACATAACAAATGCAAGTTTGCCCATTCTTTGAAGTCGGTCCACATGCACTTTCTTGAGATTTTTCTGCTGTAATAACAAATCCTCAGATGAATGCAATTAGACTTTTCTACAACTAAAGGTATTATTTTGAGTGAGGGTTTTTCTGTTTGTTTGGTTTTTTTTTTGTCTAAGAATACAGAAGGGTGGGGGTCTTTATTTCTCATTTCTCCACTAACTTTCTGAACCAGTTGTTCACCTCCTTGGAAGTTGACTATATTTGGACTTGACTTTCCTTTATGGGAAGCAGTTAACTTTCTGATAATTAACTTGAAATGTTTCCAAGGTATACCACTAGAGGGTGGTACTCATTAATAGATTATTACCAGTAAACTCCTTGGAATGATGGCCAACAGTATAGCTTTTATGCCTTCTTATTCCACAATCTGTAAGGGTAATAAACTATTTTTTTTTTTAACTGGTCTTGAATATCTTAATGTTCATGTGTCTGACTTTTTAGTTTTTAGTTTGCTTAGAAATCTATTTCCTACTGTCTTGGAAAACAAAAAATATGCAAGAGTTCTAAGATATTTTTCTCTAAATGAAATCACTTCAGTAGTATTTTAATAGTTTTCAATGGTATTCTGTGATTCTCTATGCAGCCTAAGTACTGTCCATCGTATGGGAGTAACTGTTTTGAGTGGGAGTTACTCTCTTCACTTTGCATGGAGAAGTAGCTTTTGGCTCATACTTTTTGACAAGTAGAGCAATAATCCTGAAATTGCCAGCATTGTCCCACCTGTTCTTAATTTCTCCTGTTTGATTCATCTGTTACATTTTGTGCTTATATTTAGGAAATAAATATGCTAATATGCTGTGCCATATATTTAGCAAAAGGCAAGAACTCCGTTTCATATCTAATCCTTGGCATGGTATGATGCCAAGTCAGTTGAATTCATTATGTAATGATCAGATACAACACTGCAGACATGTAATTACTAACAATTTTTATACATATGATACCTCTTTTTTTAAAAAAAAAATCCTATAACTCTATGAAGACCTATATCTATCATGGATCATTTTCTTTTTTAAAAAAAAATTAGTAAATTGACATGCTAAAGTATTAAACCATTTTTGCTTTCCAAGTTGAATTCAATCATTAGGATTCAATTTATCTAAAAATGAAGATTTTAATTTTCCATAAATTACATATGATGAAGTTGCTTAATCTTTGTTTTTGACAATCATGCTATTGTTCTTTTGTTCCAGTTATTTTAATATATTCATGTTTGAGATGCCTGATTCTGCTTGGTAAAATATTTTTTCTAAGAAAATTATATATTCAAAGCATGCTGGCTTGTTTATAGGTTAATTTGCTTCTCTGATTACAAAGAGTTAGGCAACTTTTTTTTTTCTTTTTAATTCTAGTTGGTCGAATTATGTTTCAGCTCTTCTCAGATATATGTCCGAAGACTTGCAAAAATTTCCTTTGCTTGTGCTCGGGTAAGTAGTACTCTTAAATTGAAATACACTGTTACAATTGTTCATTTATGATAGTAGCAGCAGAATAATATAATATTGATAATTTTCTGATTAAAACAAAGCTAGGACCTTGGGATTTTATCAGGAGAGGCAGAAAATATTAATGTCAGTGTATAATACAATGGTGACATTTGG